GATCGACTCCTTTCACCGTTAAAGCTAGGGTTGAATTTCGTGCAAATATGCTTATTAAGTATGCCTGCAGCGCAGCTACTAGTGGATGGGCGTAAGCAATGGATGGCACTCATACGAATGTCTTCTTGAGGACGGTAGAGATGGAGGACGGCCACATCGACCATAATGACTCCTTCAACAGCTTCCTACGCTTTCGCGTGCAGAGCAACACACGAAACGCATGCACGGTTCGCTGGCGGACGGACGGGCGGTCGCGGGCGGTGGCGGGCGCGCGGCCACAGGTGGCAGCGGGCGCGCGGCCGCGAGCGACCGCGGGCCGGCGGGCGCACGTGCCCCACAGAGCGCGCTGCGAGTGTACCTCCTATGTACACCGCGTCTCCTACCACCGCGTCTCCTACCACCGCGTCTCCTGGCCTCCCGAACCCGCCCTCTCCGCCTCCCTCGCATCTTCTCCGAAGATCCTCCAACCGCGTCTTTTTTCAAAGAAGGTTGTCATAGCATCCTTGAGGGCTACAAAACAAGGAAGGCTCCCAACTGCGCGCCTGCCCCCGCCCCTAGGTAGGCTCGCGCCCGGTGCCCCGTGCAGTTGTGAGCCTTCCTTCTTTTGAAAGAGGACATGTGACTTCCAGGAAAACCGGGCGGTTGAGCGCGGTGCCACAGACACCTAAGGGTCTCCTGTTGGGACGACCCTGTCCGCTTCTCCTCGTGAATCCTGATTGTTCTCTTTCTGTCTCATGACTGACATAGCTTGGTTGAGGTTTAAGAGTCAGGTTACCTAAGTAGCAGACGAGGTGGACAGCCATTATTGTTTTTTTCTCTCCGCCATTCATAATGTCAGACGAATCGCCGATCCAGCGGTTACCTGAAGATGTTCTTTCTCGGATCCTGTGTTTTCTGGTTCGACCTGATGGCCAGTTAGAGCACGCACTTGTTAGCAAGCAATGGCATCAAGTCGCGTACGGCGTGCAATACGAGCTTCAAATTCCCAGAAACCTTCTTCTGGATCCGCGTCGGCTCCTTCAGCTTCTGGAGAAGTTTTGGGCTGGGTCAATTCTGGTCATGTTGATGATGTTCGATGTATATTGTTACTACATTTTACCTTGCGTACTTCTCGACGGAGAAATGCATAAACTTTGTGATTAGACAAAACAATGATCGAACTCGAACACATTTGGACCAAGCCAAATTCTCGAGACCAGAATTGCTTTTCTGAGATGTATGTCTTGCTCAAACGGGTGCGGGAATTTTCAACATCTGTCCAGCTTCTTTCATCTCCTACGGTTCGCCCACCTCTCTACCTTCGCCCCTCACTAGAATCGTCATCCAGCGGGCGCGCGGACGTGGGGGCGGAAACAATTTCCTCCAAGGACACCGTTTGGGCGTCCAGGGTGTCGTTTATGCGTATTTTTTTCTCCTCTTCTTTCCCCTTTATTTTCTCCTCCTCTTTCTCCTCCGCCTGCTTCTCCTCCACATCCTCCCCTCATTCGCTTCCTCTTTCTCCACCTCCCAATTATCCTCATCTTTCTCTCTTTCTTTCTTCTCTTTCTCATGTTCTTTCTCCCTTTCACTTTCCTCCTCTTTCTCCTACTCTTTCTCCTCTTCTTCCTCTAATTCCATTTCTCCTCCTCCAATCCTCCTATTCTTTTTTCTCCTCCCCCAATTATTTTTCCTCCTCTAATGCTTTCTCTTTTTCCTCCAATTCATTTTCCTCCACCTCTAATTCCTTCTGAATGTTAGAACAGCATCAAATGTGGGGAAGAAAGGGGTGGTTATGGCAACAAACCTTGGCGATCATCCCACCCACAGCCCATACTCCCACCAGCAACACTATGCACCAGCTTAATGTACACAATTAAGGTAGCGTAGTTAGTACGGAGAGTAGATAGGATTCCGGCAAAGGCTTTATACTGCTATTTGGGGTTTAGTCCAATGAGAATCCATCTGCCCCTGCTGAAATCGTAGGCGAATTCATCATTAAGGTCAGATTAGGACAGTACACTGACTATATCGAGGGCTGTGACAGGCGAACATGAGCGAACATGAGGGTGTTCGCCCCTAGAGGCAAACAACGAACACCCTTTTCCCTGAAAGTGTTCGCTGTTCGGTTTGCCCAGGTGAAATGTTCGCCCCCTGCTTATGCCTAGTAGTGAGGGTTGCCATGGGGTAAATTACTAGGGAGTTGAAGCTCACCGAGCTCCAACTTGACACAAATCAATAACTTTGATGTACTCAATGTCCCGATTTGCATTGTTTGGAGTCAAACCGGTTTAGCCGATGATTTTTTGTTTTTTTAACCTCAAACCAGTTCGACGTGCCTCACCCTACTAACTTTTGAAGTCAGTCAGGGTTGTACCTAAATTTGAGTAGGCGGTGAGATGTAACCTTTCAATTATGTAATCTTTGGGGTTGAAACAACCTGCATAAATTTAGATTCTCCATGTGTTTGTTGTAACATGCGTTTTATTTTCCCTTTCCCAAATTTGCGTGTTTGCGGTGGTACAGAATAGCATCAATGTGAAGAATGATGTGCGGGTCATTCGAGGGCACAAAAGCAAGAAGTCTATCGTCGGACAGGCCTTCACATACGATGGGCTCTATAAGGTGCGTCCCACTTTAAGAGGTTATATGAATGCTTCGTGGGTCCACGTTAGGGCGGGGTCAGCACGTTCATTTTGCATGACTGTACAGTTCATCCGTCGTGGTGCATAACGATTTCAAATGGTTTAAGGCGGTTTTAGTCGCAAGTTTAAGCGCAAGTTTGAACCGCTAAAATAAACCGTTTTAAACCGTGACGAAACGAGAGTAACCGCTCAAAATGAACTGTTATGGGGCTATAAAGGAACGCGCTGACCCCGCCCTTAGCAAGGGACAGGTGCCGTTCATGTGGAACACCTTGGAAAGTCACCATCTTACCATTCCCAATCGGGGCCGGTTTGGATCTGGCCTTACTCAGTTGCTGGCCCGACCTGGTTCGACCCAGGCTGGCGTGCATCCCCATTTCAACACCCTGCGTCTATTGGGTTCACATGGATCAGCCCGAGTCGTCTTCAGACTCTCTCACCCCACTTTGTTGTTGATTGGCTTATCTTTAATAGTTTTAGATCAAGTGTAGGCATCACTACACCATTTTATGCCTGATGCAAGTTTTAATCCACGTAACCGCAATAGGTGAAGCAACATAAGTATGTGGTTGGCAAACAAGGCTTCCTTGTCCACAAGTTCCTTCTCGTTCGTAACCCCAACCAGCCGCCTCTCACGATTGACCAGGTTTCACCCTTTCCCCATGTGCACGCACAATTTTGTTATTGTCAATTGATTCTTGTGGGTGCTTGAAAACGGAAGTTTTGTTGCCCAGTCAAGTTTCAATGAAGCCGGTTAATGTTCATATGAACAGGATTGTGTATGAACCATACTAATTAACAGAATCTGGAGAGTTAATTTGTTATCTTGGGCGGCAAAGTGCAATGGAGCACGGCGTCGGCCTGGTCCTGAGCCAGTCTGGAGCCTTAAATGTGGTCCTGGCTTGGGCCGGATGACCTGGGCTGGCTTGCTGGCCCCTTTGTATAAGGCTAGGCTGTCTCCGGGTCAAGGCGGACCAGTCCAATAGCCGTTTCTTAAGGCAGAAAATGGCTGAAGGCTGAAAATAGAAATTGTGGGGATGTGCAGTGAGTTGTTTACTTTCTGTATTCGTAAGGCTAGATAGCAAGGAGTAAAGTGATGTGGGATGATGTATCCTGGCTTGTGGTTAGCAAGTAAGCTTGTTGTATGGAGAACACTTGCATAGGTACAATCCATCCCGTCTTTGGTGCTCAATATAGAGCCATGGCTTCACCCGAGCGATATTGCTGGCCAGGTTGATTCATCAGTGCAACGACCCCGCTCGGCCATATCGACCCGAGACCCGATTGACTCGTAATTGTCGGGTCCTTTTCGACCCACCAGTTTCGGTCGCCCTATGTGTCAAACATTATATATGTTGGGTTTGTTAGGCTACAGTGGGTTAGCCTATATGGGGTACACAATTCTAGGGTTTGCCATTTGTACTGATTTCTCTGTTAGTTCAATCATTCCAGTCTCTTCTTGTTGACATGGTTTCAGAGCAGGTCCTTCGCTAGGACCGTTCTTAGGGCCCACCACTGACTACCTACCTACCTACCTATCTACTGTCGGAGCGTCGCGTTAGCGCCTCCCCCTCAGCGCCCTCGTGCGCCCTCGTGTACGGCCCCTTAAGGCCCCGTCGACCCCGCGCGCCGCCCCTTAGTGACTCGCGCGTCGCGCCTTAGAGGCCCCGTCGACCCGTGCGCGCCCCGCTTAAGGCCCCGTTTGGCCCCGTCGACCCGCCCGCGGCCCGCTTAGTGGCCCCGTTTGGCCCCGTCGACCCGCCCGCACCCCGCTTAGAGGCCCCGTTTGGCCCCGTCGACCCGCGCGCGCCCCGCTTACGGCCCCGTTTGGCCCCGTCGACCCCGCGCGCGCCCCGCTTAGTGGCCCCGTTTGGCCCCGTCGACCCGCGCGCGCCCCGCTTACGGCCCCGTTTGGCCCCGTCGACCCGCACGCGCCCCGCTTACGGCCCCGCTTGACCCGTCGACCCCGCGCGCGCCCCGCTTAGAGGCCCCGTTTGGCCCCGTCGACCCGCACGCGCCCCGCTTACGGCCCCGTTTGGCCCCGTCGACCCGCGCGCGCCCCGCTTACGGCCCCGCTTGACCCGTCGACCCCGCGCGCGCCCCGCTTAGAGGCCCCGTCGACCCTATCCGCCGCCCCAAAGCGGCTCCGTCGACCCTACCCGCCGCCCCTACCCGCACCGCACGCGACAGCCGCGGCCCCGCCAGCAACAGGCCGCCCGAACCGAGCCGCCCAGTCCGAGCCGAGCCGAGCAGCCAGAACCGAGCCGCGCCGCCCGCACTGAGCAACTTCTCTGGACCGAGCCGCCCTACCTGCGTCGCGCTGCCCACTGCGTTTAGGACTCACTTACTGCTACTGCTACGGCTACTCCTACTGCTTCTATGGCTACCCCGCCTGTACTAGCTTTCGATGCTGAGGGCCGCCCAGTGAAGTTTGATACTTGGCTTGATGACCTGCACCTCTTCCTACAGCTCACTGCCAAGGAGGATATCTCACTGTATGACCACGCCCTCGGCCATGCTCCTGCCCCTGCTACTGATGCTGACAGCACTACCCGCTCACAGTGGCAGACTCGTGACGCCCACGCTCGCTTTGCCATCCGCAACTCCCTGCCGTTAGATGAGCGCGAGCACTTCGGCCAGTGCAAGACTGCTAGAGACCTCTACACCGCTGTAGTTGCCCGTTACTCCTCACCCGCTTCTGCTACGCTAGGCCGCCTCACTCTTCCCTACCTGTTCCCCGACCTAGCCTCCTTTCACACTGTCGCAGACCTCATCACCCACCTTAAGACTAGTGAGGCCCGCTTTCGCGCTGCTATGCCTGCCGAGTTTCTCACTAGCAACCCCCCCCCGCTCTGGATCACTCTCTACCACATCGTCACCCGCCTCCCTGACTCTCTGCGCGCAGTCAGGGACCACTTCCTCTCTCGCTCCCCCACTGAGCTCACTGTTGCCCTCCTCGAGAAGGAACTGCTTGCAGCTGAGGCGAGCATCGTCGCTGTAGGCACCTCTCGTGGCGACCCCCGCACCCCGTTCTTCGAGGGGTGTTCCCCTTCCCCCCTCCTCCCCTCTGTCGCCTCTGCTGCTGCTGTCGACCTCCTTGGTGCTGAGAAGGTCGGGACCGCGTCTGCTTCGAGCGGGCGCCGCAGGGGCAAAGGGGGCAGGGGCGGGGGTGGCGGCGGAGGAGGTGGGGGTGGAGGCGGTGGGAGTGGAGGCGCGGCTGAGGAGGCTAGTGGCGGTAGTGGGGGAGGCGACAGCAGCGGCGGGAGTGGTGGCAGGGGCGGAGGCGGCAGCGGAGGCGGAGGTGGTCGTGGTGGCGGCAGGGGTGGAGGTGGCCGGGGCGGAGGCGGAGGGGGTGGTGGTCGTGGGGGCACTGGCGGAGGGCAGAGTCAGCAGCCAGCCCCGACGCTTCAGGCCGCCCGTGAGTGGTATGCGCAGCGTGGCTTTACCTGCACGTACGTCATTCGCACAGGTGACCGCAGCGGCCAGCAGTGTGGGAGGCCGCACCCCACGCAGCGCTGCTTCGCGCGCCTTACCGACGCGTGGCGCACTCAGTTTCCTGCTGCCACTGAGCTGCCGCGCTGGGCTGATCTGGAAAAGAGGGGTGTTGATATTTGGGCTTTAGACTTTGATGCTATTCTCACTGCCATGTATGCCATGTCTATTAGTGGAGAGGGTGCTCAGTACTTGCGTGTTCCGCCCGACCCGGGCATTCAGGCCAGTCCGGCTGCCGCTCTAGGTGCTAGTGCGTCCGCTCCCGCAGGTCCTAGTGAGGCTGCTGCCCTAGGTGCTAGTGCGTCTGTGCCCCCTGGTACTGAGTCGACTGCAGCACTGCACACCTTCACACTGGACTCAGGTGCTTCTCGCTCTTTCTTTCGTGACCGCACTGTCCTTGAGCCCCTCGCTCGGCCAGTTGCTGTCTCCCTTGCTGACCCCTCTGGGGGTCCGGTCATTGCGACCTCCTCCACTGTCCTTCCTTGTCCGGCGGTCCCGTCCGGCACGCTGTCAGGTCTCTACCTCCCCTCGTTCTCTACGAACTTGGTGGCAGGTAGTGCGCTCCAGGACGGGGGTGTTCACCAGTTCACCCCTGCCTACGAGCGCGTGACACACTGCACGTGTGCTCGGACGGGTCGCCACCTGGCTACCTTCACTCGGGAGCCGGGGTCGGACCTTTACACACTGACCACTGTGTCCCCTCAGGTAGCTGCGTCTGCGTCTGCGTCTGCGCCAGGTCAGCTGTCAGCCCCCTGCTCGTGTCGCTCTCTGGCACATGAGACTGTCCTTTGGCACCACCGCCTTGGTCACCCATCTGTGCAGCGCCTTCGGGCCATGCACCAGCGGGACCTTGTTGCTGGTCTTCCCAGGGTGCTCCCTCCCCTTCCCGACTCGCCTGCTCCTCCCTGTATTCCCTGTGTCGAGGGGCGGCAGCACGCCGCTCCTCACTCCTCCTCCTTTCCCCCGACGACTGCCCCCTTGCAGACGCTCCACATGGACGTGTGGGGCCCAGCCCGCGTCCGTGGTCAGGATCAGGAGAGGTACTTCCTGATTGTTGTTGACGACTTCTCGCGCTACACCACGGTCTTCCCCTTGCGCGCCAAGGGTGACGTTCCTGATGTCTTGATCCCTTGGATCCGCAGATCTCGTCTCCAGCTCCGTGAGCGTTTCCGCTCCGATTTCCCTGTCCTGCGTCTGCACTCTGACAGAGGTGGGGAGTTTTCCTCTGGCCTATTGGAGGCCTTCTGTCAGCAGGAGGGCATTGCGCAGTCGTACACGCTTCCGGACTCGCCACAGCAGAATGGGGTTGCTGAGCGCCGCATTGGTCTGGTCATGGAGGTCGCTCGTACCTCCTTGAGCCATGCGGCTGCCCCCCATTTTCTGTGGCCGTTTGCAGTCCGATACGCTGCGCATCAGCTCAACCTCTGGCCCCGTGTCTCCTTGCCGGAGACTTCTCCGACACTGCGTTGGACGGGAGAGGCTGGCGATGCGTCGTGTTTTCGGGTCTGGGGATCCCGAGCTTTTGTCCGCGACACGTCCGCGGACAAGCTCTCCCGTCGCGCTGTCCCCTGCGTCTTCCTTGGCTTTGTCCCGGACGCCCCTGGTTGGCAGTTCTACCACCCCACCTCGCGGCGTGTCCTGGCCTCTCAGGACGTCACTTTTGACGAGTCCGTCCCCTACTACCGCCTCTTCCCCTACCGCACTGCCCCGCTCCCCCCCCGCCTCTCTTCCTCGCTCCAGGTGCTGAGGTACCAGACCCCCTCCCCCCTCAGGGTGCCGCTCCCTCAGGTGTGTCCCAGGTAGACCCAGGTGAGCCTGTCGAGGTAGCTGTTGACTCTCGTCCTGCTCGGGGTACTGAGCCTGGGGGTGCTGCGTCTGGGGGTGCTGAGCCTGGGGGTGCTGAGTCTGGGGGTGCTGAGCCTGGAGGTGCTGCGTCTGGGGGTGCTGCGTCTGGGGGTGCTGAGCCTGAGCGTGCTCCACCTGGGGGAGCCCTCTCCTCCCAGCAGCTGCAGGAGAGGTACCTCGAGTACTGCCGCCTCCGGAGAGGTGCTGCTGGAGCTCGTCCCGGTACTTCCCCTCCTCCCCGGGAGCTCCCCCCCATTCAGCAGATCCGCGAGTGGTACACACGGCGCTGCAGTCTTCGGAGTGGTGCTCCTGGTGCTGCGGACCCTGGGGGTGGCGCTGCTGCTGGTGCTGAGGACCCGGACGGTGGAGCTGCTGCTGGTGCTGAGGACCCGGACGGTGGAGCTGCTGCTGGTGCTGAGGACCCGGACGTTGGGGCTGCTGCTGGTGCTGCGGACTTGCCTGGTGGAGCTGCTGCTGGTGCTGAGGACTCGGACGTTGGAGCTGCTGCTGGAGCTGAGGACCCGGGCGGTGGTGCTGCTGCTGGTACTGAGGACTCGGACGGTGGAGCTGCTGCTGGACCTGAGGACCCGAGCGGTGGCGCTGCTGCTGCTTCTGAGGACCCGGGCGTTGGAGCTACTACTGGTGCTGAGGACCCGGCCAGTGGAGCTGCTGCTGGTGCTGTGGACCCGGCCGCTGGAGTCTCCTCTGCTTCTGGAGACGCTGCGCGACCGCGACCGTACTTCGTACCGCTCCTTCAGCAGGTTCTTGGGCAGGCTCCTCCTCCTTGTCCTCCTCCCTCCGTAGAGTGTCCTCTGCCTGTCCAGTCGCAGTCACAGTTACCGCCTACCTCGCCTCTCCCTGCTCCCTCTCCTTACACTGGTCCCACAGGAGGTCTTACAGAGCGTCGTGAGCCTGAGTCCCGTCCTGCGTCGCCTGTTCGTCCTGCTCGCACTGGTAGTCGTGTCCGTCGTGAGCGTCCTCCTCCTGTCCCAGGCACTCACTACATGACTCTGCGTCCCTCTACTGCTCCTCAGCGTGTCCCTCTACCGTCTCCTCCCGCGTCTTCTTTGCCTCACGTTCCGGACCCTGAGTCTGACCGGTACCGTGCTGAGCACCCTACTGTCACGCGTCTCTTCGTTACTGTTGTCACTGACCCTACCTTTGAGTCCTCTGCTGCGTCTGCTCTGGTCGCTGAGTTGGTTGACTTTGCTGCTGCCTGTCGTCTAGACTACGCTGCTAGCCTTGTTGCTGAGTCTGAGTCTGAGTCTGTCTGTCCTCCGTCCGTCGGGGGTGAGTGTGCTCTTGGCACGGACGTCCTTGAGGACAGACAGGAGGAGTTCCAGTGTCTTGCTGCTGCTTTGCCCCGTCTCGTGTCCTTGCTAGTTGCCCCTGAGGGAGACCCGGATGCACCAGACATCCCGACCCCACGCACTTACGCTGAGGCGATGGCGGGTCCCTACTCCTCTCAGTGGCAGACGGCCATGGACGCCGAGATGGCTTCCTGGAAGTCCACACGCACCTACGTCGACGAGGTTCCCCCTCCTGGGGCGAATATCGTCAGTGGCATGTGGATTTTCAGGGTGAAGCGGCCGCCGGGTTCTCCGCCTGTCTTCAAGGCGCGTTACGTGGCTCGAGGCTTCAGTCAGCGAGAGGGGGTTGACTTCTTCCAGACCTTCTCCCCCACCCCAAAGATGACCACTCTTCGGGTGCTGCTGCACATAGCCGCTCACCGCGACTACGAGCTTCACTCACTTGACTTCAGCACTGCTTTCTTGCAGGGCAGCCTGCACGAGGAGATCTGGCTGCGCCGCCCACCTGGCTTCACTGGGTCGTTTCCTCCTGGTACCCAGTGGAGGCTTCAGCGGCCGGTCTACGGTCTCCGCCAGGCTCCACGTGAGTGGCACGACACACTGAGGACTACACTTGCGGCTCTTGGGTTCGCGCCTTCTACAGCTGACCCGTCGCTGTTCCTGCGCACCGACACTTCACTGCCGCCGTTCTACATCCTCGTGTACGTCGACGACTTGGTCTTTGCCACTGCTGACACTGCAGGACTCGCCTACGTGAAGTCGGAGCTGCAGAGGAGACACACGTGCACAGACATGGGTGAGCTGACAAGCTATCTTGGCTTACGGATCACCCGGGACAGAGCACGGCGCACCATCACCTTGACTCAGTCACACATGGTGCAGCAGGTTCTCCAGCGCTTTGGCTTCACGTACTCCTCGCCTCAGACCACTCCTCTGCCTGCCGGTCACTCGCTCTCAGCTCTGCCTTCGGATGAGTCCGTAGAGCCGAGTGGCCCGTATCCAAAGCTTGTGGGCTGCCTCATGTACCTGATGACCTGCACTCGACCTGACCTTGCATACCCTCTTAGCATCCTTGCACGCTATGTCGCTCCTGGCCGTCACAGGAAGGAGCACATGGATGCCGCTAAGAGGGTGTTGCGCTACTTGTGCAGTACGTCGGGCATGGGGCTTGTGCTTGGAGGGCGAGACCGAGTTGTGCTCACAGGGCACTCAGACGCTTCTTGGGCAGACGACCAGGCCACTCAGCGGTCGTCTCAGGGTTACACCTTCAGCCTTGGCTCTGGCTCAGTTTCTTGGCGCTCTACACGCTCTTCTTCTGTTCTCGGCTCCAGTTGCGAGGCTGAGATCTACGCTACAGCCATGGCTGCCCAGGAGCTACGCTGGCTGACCTACCTGCTGACTGACCTCGGAGAGCCACCTCGTTCTCCTCCAGTACTGTACGTCGACAACAAGGCTGCCATTGCCTTGTGTGAGGAGCACAGACTGGAGCACAGAACGAAGCACATCGCTCTGCGGTACTTCCTTGCTCGAGAGCTGCAGCAGCGCAGTCAGCTTTGTATTCGCTACGTGGCCACTGAGGCCAACACTGCTGATGTGTTCACCAAGGCGCTTCAGCCTCGTGACCATCAGCGCTTCTGCACTCTACTAGGCCTTGTGCCTACTGGACCTCACTTGCTTACCTCTTGACTTTGCTTGTACTGTGATCACTATATATATCTATACCTGCATGTTTACTCTTGCTAGGTTGTGATCACTGTATCTCTGACTCTGTTATAAACCTGCATGTGAACTGGTCTTGTGACCACTAGCTTGTGCTCGGAATTTGTGTGGAATCCTCGAGATCCACCCTGAGCTTGTTGTTGCCTTGACTGGTCTTGTGACCCCTAGGTCTCCCCCACTTTGCCTATGGGGGTGTGTCAAACATTATATATGTTGGGTTTGTTAGGCTACAGTGGGTTAGCCTATATGGGGTACACAATTCTAGGGTTTGCCATTTGTACTGATTTCTCTGTTAGTTCAATCATTCTAGTCTCTTCTTGTTGACACTATGACCCGACTTGGGCAGTTATATGCGAGGATGAATCGTTGAGGTGCCCTATCTTTGTAGATCGGCGATCATGATCTCAGGTCGACGGTCAACATGTGTTGATCCGTGCAGATTGGTGATCGAAATTGCCACTCCGCGCAGGTAGGAGGTCCAACTTACCCTCTAAGCCCGGATCGGATCAGTTGTCCTCCGGCCCGATTGCGAGTCGACCTGACCTACCAGTGCCTATGATGGGGTGGAGAAGTTTTGGGCCGGGTCAATGCTGGTCATGTCGATGATGTTCGATGAATATTGTTACTACATTTTACCTTGCGTACTTCTCAACCGAGAAATGCATAAACTTTGTGATTAGACAGAACAATGATCGAACTCGAACACGTTTGGACCAAGCCAAATTCTCGAGACGAGAATTGCTTTTCTGTGATGTGTGTCTTGCTCAAACGGGTGCGGAAATTTTCAACATCTGTCCAGCATCTTTCATCTCCTACGGTTCGCCCACCTCTCTACCTTTGCCCCTCACTAGAATCGTCATCCAGCGGGCGCGCGGACGTGGGGGCGGAAACAATTTCCTCCCAGGACGCCATCTGGACGTCCAGGGTGTCGTTTATGCGTATTTTCTTCTCTTATTTCCCCTTTATTTTCTCCTCCTCTTTCTCCTCTGCCTGTTTCTCTTCCACATCCTCCCCTCATTCGCTTCCTCTTTCTCCACCTCCCAATTATCCTCATCTTTCTCTCCTCTCTTCTCTTTCTCTTGCTCTTTCTCCCTTTCACTTTCCTCCTCTTTCTCCTACTCTTTCTCCTCTTCTTCCTCTAATTCCATTTCTCCTCCTCTTTATCCTCCAATTCTTTTTTCTCCTCCCCAATGCCTTCTCTTTTTCCTCCAATTCATTTTCCTCCACGTCTAACTCCTTCTGAATGTTAGAACAGCGTCAAATGTGGGGAAGAAGGGGGTGGTTATGGCAAAGAGAGCTTGAAGAGAGCTGGTGACGGCAAAGACAGCTTGAAGGGAGCTGGTGACGGCAAAGAGAGCTTGAAGAGAGTGGCTGATGACGCGGTAGTAGTAGTGGTACTTTAGTAGGGGTGTCCTAGAAAGTGGGTCTGTTTTCGTAGCACGGACGAGCTGGTGCGGGAAAAAATCAGTGCAGACGGAAAATTCGTTTCACTCTCACCACCATGCCTTCGGCCTCGTTCTCTGTTTTCTTCCTCGTTTTCGACGGGCGTGGGGTGGGAGCCACGGGCGCGGTGCACGGGGCACTGGGCGCGGGGCGCGAGTGTACCTAGGGGCGAAAGCAGGCGCACAGTTGGGAGCGTTCCTTGTACTGTAGCCCTCCGCCGCCCCGCGACCGCCCGTCCGTCCGCCAGCGAACCGTGCATGCGTTCCGCGTGTTGCTCTGCTTGCGTAAGCGCAGGAAGCTGTTGAAGGAGTCATTATGGTCGATGTGGCCGTCCTCCATCTCTACCGTCCTCAAGAAGACATTCGTATGAGTGTCATCCATCGTGTACGCCCATCCACTACTAGTTGCGCTGCATGCATACTTAATAAGCATATTTGCACGAACTTCAACCCTAGCTTTAACGGTGAAAGGAGCCGATCAATACAA